ACTGTGGGGAGTGAAGGTGTTAATTCTGAGTCTTTTGGACACTTCAAATCTGCCAAAACCTGCTTGGGAGAGTGATAGGTCCTTAAAGCCTTTGAAATACAATGGATGGTCAGCTATGAGTTGGTTCCCATGATGGCAATGAATGAGTAAAGATGAGAAAATACTTGCTATAATATTAAGTGGAAAAATAGGATACAATTTGAACATACTTTGGCTTTACTTAACATTAATGAATATTAAAAGCAATATCCAGAGCTAACTATTTTTAATATTTTATTACTATTTTAGAAGTTATATTTCAAATAACATTTTATAGTCTGTATATGTACAAAGATACTTTGGTTTTACTTACATTAATAATTGTTAGAAGAAAGTGTCTAAAGCCAGTAATTTTTAATATTTTGTTATTTGTGTTAGGAGTGATTTTTAAATGAAATTTAAATATGAAATGAATTTCATATTTTTATAGAACATGTAAGTGGAAAATAATAAGGAAAAGTAATTAGAAAAAGAGGTAAAGACTCTTCCTAGTACATAAAGTTAATTGGGTCAACAACAATCAAGCTTCCTGCCATCATATTTACCTGCTTTTTCAGTATTTTGCTTCTCCTTTCATGAAAGTGTGTGTCAGCCTCTGTGTCTTGGGTTCCTGAGATTCTTGGTGTTCCAGATGAAAGGATGTACTTGAGATTGTTGGTGTCTACCAGAGTCAGATTGAGTAGCACTTTGTCATCTCAGTCTTTTATTAGCTTATTAGATTTTTTCACAAATTGAAGTGCAGTGAATAAGGAAGATTAATTCTTAAATTGTGATGTTGATAAAAAATACCATGCTGAAGGAACAAGCAAATCTTTCCTAAAAGAATTGCAGTCAGAGTGCTCCCTGAGGAGCAAAGATTGTGAGACTTGGAAAAAGATACCATGATTGGAAGAATAGAGGGTCAGCGAGGGAGAGGAAGACCTTCAACACTATGATTGCAAAAAATGGGCTTGAGCACAGCTGAGATTGTAAGGATAGTCCAGCATGGGGCAAATTTCAGTCTGTTGTTTGTAGGGCTGCTATGGATTGGAATCGACTTAGTGGCACCTAAAATCAATAACAACATTTATTAATTTAGGTAACAGTGATGAAATAAATGTCCTGTTTGTTGCTCTGCTAACTATAAGAATCACAGTTCAAATCTGCTAGTAGCTCCACAGGAACTAGATGGATAGTCTCCTCCCGTAAAGATTTACAGCCTTGGAAAGTTCTACTACTTAGAACTGATGAGGTGGCAGTGGGTTTGGGATTTTATTTTTTAATATTGTGAGGATTGAATATTGAGAGATGAAGAGCTTGACTATTAGAGTCAGGCAAGCAAGCACTGTTGCAGTTACAGGGTTTCTATCTCTTTTGGCTTTGATTCTAGTTAAATTATAAACCTTTTCGATCCTTCTGTGTGACATTCCTTAAGGACTTTACTTGGGAATTTGAAAATACTTTTTAGAACATATAAAAGAAATTCTGATTGTCAAGGAATTACCCAGAGCTACACTGTTTACTATGGCAGTCACCTACCACAGGCAGCTGGCTATTGAACATTTGATTTGTGAAAAGTTCCAATTGAGATGTGTTGGTAAGATACACACTGGATTTTTAACACTTCATAGAAAAGTTATGTATGTAGCTTGCATTATATTTCTGTTGGAGAGTATTAGTTTAGAAGGTCTATCTAGTTCTAATTTTTTTTTCATTTCCAGAAGTAATGATTTAGTGACTGTAAGACAAAACAATAGAATTGTGCTTCTTTTACAGACTGGAGACCATGAAATGTTACAAGAAACAATATTAGTATAGTATAAGCACTCTCACAAATAACATACCAATTTTGACCAAAGCAAAACGTAAACTTATAATTGTTGGGGTGTGCTTTTTTTCCTTTTTAGTTTTTATTTAATTTTTAATTATACTAGTTTATTTACAAAATTTGAATACATTGCTTTTCAGACAAGATTCTTCCAATTTCTCCCACCTACCCCCCCATTGAGGTTGCACATTTTTATATTCAGCATGCTCATACTGTTTGAAAAATGAATATCTGTACAAGCTCATAAGTGCTTCAGTTCTCAGACTTTAGAGAAGACATTCTATTGTGTGTAACTGGTAAAAGTAAGTCTTAAATTTGAAATTACAGATATACCACTTATTAAAATATTTCAATAAAATGCCGTCTTCCAGCAACTGGGTTTATTTAAAAAATTGCTTCAGAATTATAGTGATAAATACACATTTAAAAAACACAAATGTCTTATCAATGGAAAATAAGTACATTTTGTAATGTTCTTCAGATGTTTTCCTTTATTACAGCTATTAAATTTAAAAGTAAATATGTATTACTGGAGGAAAGTTAATTTTTATTTTATTATTTTTTGTGCGTGTGTGTGTTCTGTCAAAAATCTGATCTGACTGGTACAGGAGGAGACTGTCCCTCCTTCTCCAGGAAAGCATCTGGTGGATTTGAACCTCACACCTCTGGGATTGCAGTACAGCTTCTTGCCACTAGGCCACCAGAGCTCCTAGGAAAGTTAATTTTAATGACTTGCAAATTGCTTTCAGTGGAACAGAAGCTAAAATTTGATATCCAGTTTCAATGACAATTAACAATAATAGAGATCCAAGAAACTCAATCATGACATTTAGACCCATTTTAATAAAGTGTTTCGGGGTGGGTAAAAAAAAGTTTCTATTTCTATACTTAACTACATTTAACCATTTAAATACTTTCTATGAACCAGGCTCTTTTCTAAATGATCATTAGATTTGTTATCTAATTGACAAAGCAGTCTCATGTAATTAGTCTATTACTTGTTCTCTGTAGAGGTAGAATTGGACTCAGAGACACACCTAAGTGGAAGAAATTTGAATAAAGGCCACATAACTACAATCTAAACTGTTAACCAATCATTGTTATATTAATTACTGAACCTTCTGTAATTACTTTCTGTATCCATCATTCTCCACTTTACAGAAGTACAATCAGGTTAAGATGTTTCTTGTTAAAGGTGTTTTTGGTCATGAAAAGTGATGGGAACCGATATATGCACCCCTGTATTTGTTACAACATTATTCGCAGTAGCAAGAAGAAAGCAACCCAAGTGCCCAGGAGTGAACGAAAGGGTGGAGAGCTGTGCTCCATAATGGAGTACTACTATGCATCACTGAAAAGCAATCAAGAGTTTGTGAAGCACTGCATAACATGGATGAATCTAGACGAAATTATGTTGAATGAAATAAGTAATTCACCAGAAGACAAATAATGTATGAAACTACTGTTAAAAGAAGCTACAGAAAGGGTTATGCACAGCAACAATCATCCTAGAATGCTTATCAGGAAGGAAAAGGATGGGACTAGAAAATTAATAATAGAATTAATTATTTAGGAGCTCTGGTGGCCTAGTGGCAAGGAGCTGCACTGCAATCCCAAAGGCATGCAGTTTGAGGCCACCAGCTGCTCTAAGGGAGAAGGATAGGCAGTCTCCTTTGTGCGATTAAAGGCCTCTGAAAACCTACTGGAGGGTCAGCTATGGGTCACTTCCAACTCTCTGGTACACAACAACAACAATAACAACTTTGGTGAAAGAAACAGTATGGAACGAATGAATGATCAGACCCCGAGTGTTTTGTAATTGAGGTTATGAAACTATTCATGAATGATAGGAAAAACCCCATTATGCTTGGTAAACTTTTACTCTAATCACAGTGAAAAATAGAGACAAGTGATGAGACAGAAGTGAAGAGAATGTATGAGTCCTTGACATGATTGTCCACTACCAGACCAAGGACAGTCATGCTCAGATCTCTTCACTTAAGGATTTTACCTCTTGTTAAGTTGTACTCATGTGAGGGTTAGTTACGTGTGGACATTTATCTAGATATTTGGCTAAGATGAAGAGGGATTTCTTTTCCTTTGTGGAGGAGACACTCATTCCAGTTCCATATGGAATAATTTCATTCCCAACAGAAAAAAAAGGAGGGGGTAAAAACCCAAAACTTAACACTAGTGAAAATGTAAGTATGCCCTTTCTGGCAAGCAACATATGCTGGCGAGGTTGTGGAGAAACTGGAACCCTTTTTCACTGTTGGTGGGAGTGTAAGATGGTTGCAACCACTGTGGAAAGTGGTATGGTGCTTTCTCAAATAGTTGCAAATAGAGATACCATTTGACCCAGCAGTTCCACTACTAGGAATATACCCCAAAGAGACCATAACTGACATCCAAACAGATATATGCACATCCATGTTCATCACAGCTTTGTTCACAATGGCAAGGAGTTGGAAACAGCCTAAGTGCCCATCAACAAATGAATGGATAGAGAAGCTATGGTATAGTCACACAATGAAATACTACGCTGCATTGAAAAACAAGGAACTCATGCAATATTGTTCAAAATGGTGACCCTGGAGGACATTATGCTGAGTATAAGTCTCAGTCATAAAAGGACAAATACTGCATGGTGCCACTGTTGTAAAACAGGACTGACATCGGGGTTGGGGGAAGACTGAGAAAGATGGTTTCAATAATGTATACTGCATTGAAACAGATAAGGGAGAAAATGGTTTAAAAGAGATATGTGATTAGGTATTTTTGTCATGACAGGAGTCCAGAGCTAATCCTGCACAGTAGAGTGGACCTGGGGGAGGGTTTGTAAAACAGTGAAAGAATTTTACTTTTCCAAGAGGTTGGGAGGGGAGAAAAGTGCAACAATAAATGAATGGAAAGCCATATTCTCTGTAAATTTTCATTGAAATTAATAATAAATTTAAAGAAAAAAAAAGAATGTTGAGAAACCTGATATGTATTCATAGATGTAAATTATTAAAGTAATAATGATTAATAACTAAAAACTAAGAAAACCTAATGTAAATGTAAATCCCAATTCCTGTATCAGTTCTGTTGATGGTCTATACAGGTGGTATTTGGTGTTAAGCATTTCAGTGTGACATGCTTGTTTTTCTCCCAGCTAAAGGCACTCTCAGTGAAGATACCATCAGAGTGTTTCTACATCAGATTGCAGCTGCAATGAGAATCTTGCACAGCAAAGGGATAATCCACAGGGACCTTAAACCCCAGAACATCTTGTTGTCCTACGCTAGTCATAGAAAGTCAAGTGTTAGCGGTATCCGCATTAAAATAGGTAAGTGCTATGTACAGTTTCAAATTTCTGAGAATCGTTATTTTTGGATAATTTTAATTCAGCTTTCTTAGAATGATATGGTGTATTGATGCAATTTTGACATTTTCTTGGCTCACTGAGGTATGTTTAATTTGTAAGGCAGTATATATTTAAACTTTCATGGCCAAAGTAGTTCGTAAAATTAATCTCAGCTACAAAGCCTGCTTCTGAAAAGGAGGATAATGTCATCTGTTTGCTAACAGCTTTGATAACCCTGATTCAACATAGCTCATGAGATTTTAACATGATACAGGATCTAAAAGATCATCTGGTGTAGTCATCCTACTTGGTGCTATTTTAGTATTCTTGTATGTCTTCATTATTTGAAACAGGTAGTAGTGTTAGAATTTTTTCTTTTAAATAACAGCTTTACGGGGAGCTCTGGTGGCCTAGTGGCAAGGAGCTGCAACTACAATCCAAAAGGCTCACGGTTCAAATCCACCAGATGCTCTGCCGGGGAAGGAGGGACAATCTCCTCCTGTACCAGTCAGATCCAATTTGACGGTACACTCACACAATAAAAAAAACACACCAAAAAACACCAGCTTTACATTTATTGCTAGAAAAAGATTTATTTTGTACTTTCCTATATCTTAAAAAATTATGTAATCTATTAAATGTGAGTAAAGATACCATACGTTCTCTCTACCTTTTATTTTTTTCTTTTTAAAAAATTTTATTAATTTTAATGAAAGTTTACATAGGTGTTGGATTTCCATTCATTCATTGTTGCATTTCTCTCCCTGCCCACCCCTCCCCCACCTTTTATTTTTTTTTAAATAGCGGATTTTGGATTTGCTCGTTACTTGCATAGTAATATGATGGCAGCAACACTATGTGGATCACCAATGTACATGGTGAGTGAATATTTGCATATTTGTGTTTTTACAGCATAACGTTAGAAGCATTGAAATATAAGTGTTAATGGATCTTAGATGAAAGCAGGGAATACCAGAGGAGTGTCTATCTGTGTTTCATTGATTATGAAAAGGTGTTTGACTGTGTGGATCATTATAAACTGTGGCTGACTCTGAGAAGAATGGGAATCCCAGAACACTTGATCGTGCTAATGCGAAACCTATACTTGGACCAAGAGGCAGTCATCAGAACAGAGCAAGGGAACACTGCATGGTTCAAAATTGGGAAGGGTGTACGCCAGGAATGTGTCCTATCTCCATACCTTTTCAACCTGTATGCAGAACAGATTATCTGGGAGGCTGGGCTGTATGAGGAGAAGTGTGGCATCAGGACTGGTGGGAGATCTATCAACAGTCTGTGTTATGCAGATGACACAACCCTGCTTGCTGAAACTCAGGAGGACCTGAAGCACTTGCTGCAGAGGGTCAAGGACTGCAGCCTTCAATAGGATTGAGGCTCACTATCAAGAAGACAAAGATTCTCACCACTGGACCAATTGGCTGCATCAGGATGGATAGTGAAGACATTGAGATTGTTCACAGCTTCAGTTTGCTTGGCTCCACAGTCAACACTCTTGGCACCAGCAGCCAGGAAATTAAAAGACATATTGTGATGGGAAAGTCTGCTGTTAGGGACCTCTCCAAAAAACTGAAGAGCAGTGGTGTCACTCTGGAGACTAAGGTGTGTTTGATACAGGCCCTGGTCTTTACAATCACTTGTTACATGTCAGAGAGTTGGACAATGATTAGGGTGGATAAAAGGAGAATTGATGCCCTTGAGCTGTGGTGCTGAGAAGAGTGTTGAGTGTATCATGGACTGCTAAGGAAACAAACAGATTCATCCTGGAGAGGGTTAAACTGGGCGGCTCCTTGGAGGCAAGGATCTGAGGCTTTGTCTGACATAGTTTGGACATGTTGTAAGGAGGGTCCAGTCCTTGGAGAGGGACATCATGCTTGGTAGAGTGGAGGGACAGTGCAGGAGGGGAAGACCCTCTATGAGGTGAATTGATTCAGTGACTGGGATGATTGGGGAGGGTGTGTCAGAGATAGTGTGATTGGCACAGGACAGAGCAGCGTTTAGAGTTCTTAAACATAGGGTTGCTATGAGTTGCAGGCAACTCAACGGCACATAACAACAACAACAATGAAGATGAGGTTTTATTTATATAGAGGAAGACCCTTGATGAGATGGATTGATTCAGTGACTAGGGTAATGGGGATAGGTGTGTCAGAGATGGTGAGATTGGCACAGAATAGGACAGAGTTTAGGGCTGTTGTACATAGGGTCACTATGAGTCACAGGTGACTTGATCGCACATAACGACAACAGCAACATCATTTTTCATTGCTGTGAAATACTCGATTGTGTGGATGTACCATAGATTTTCTATCCATTTGCTTATTGATGGGCACTTGGGTTGCATCTACCTCTTTGCTATTGTGAATAATACAGCAGTAAACATGGGTGTGCACATATCTGTTTGAGTTGTGGCTCTTGTTTCTTAAGGTATATTCCTAGCAGTGGAATTGCTGGATCAAATGGTATTTCTATTTCCAACTTTCTGAGACATTTTGCCCAACCACTTTCCATAGTGGTTGCACCATTTTACATTCCTACCAAGCACTGAATAAGGGTTCTAATCTCTCCATAATCTCGCTAGTATTTGTTATTTGCTGCTGTGTTGAACTTTGCTATTGTTCCTGGATTGAGATAATATTGCATATTTAGATTTTCATTTCTTGGCTAGCTAGAGATTTTGAACATTTCTTCATGTATCTATTTGCCATCTGAATGTGCTCTTTGGTGTAGTGCTGTGTATATCCTGTGCCCATTTCGTGACTGGATTGTTTACATTTTTCTTGTTGAAGTTCTGGAGTATTCTTTCTTAGTTTAGGTATAGTTTTTGCATGAGCACAAATTAAGTGTTCTGGGATTCCCATTTTTCTCAGTGTTAGCTATAATTTATTATGATCCGTACTATCAAATGCCTTTGTGTGGTCTATAAAACACAAATAGACATTCATGTGGTATTTTCTGCTTTTATCCAAGATCATCTGACATCAGCTGTGATATCCCATCCCATGTTCTCTTCTAAACATTCCCTGAATTTCTGGCAATTCTCTAGCCATTTTTGGTTAACCTTCAGCAAGATATTTTATCTACATGTGATATATTAATGATACTGTTGGGTAATTTACACATTCTTTTGGATCACATTTTTTTCAGAATGGGAATAAATACTGATCACTTCCATTCAGTTGACCAGGTTGCTGCTCTCCATATTTTCTGGCATAGCTTAGTGAGCATGTCTTGAGCTTTATGTCTTTGTTGAAGAATGTCAGCTGGTATTCCATAAATGCCTGGGGCCTTATTTTTTACTAATTCCTTTAATATAGCTTGAATTCTTCCTTCATCACTCTTGGTTCTTTTTCATATGCTACTTTCTGAATTGGTTCTAGGTCAGCCAGTTCTTTTTTGGTACAGTTACTCTCTGTAACCTTCCATCTTCTTTTGATGCTTCCTGGATTTTGCCCATGGCATCCTTCAATTTTGCAACTGAAGGCTTGATATTTTTTTTTTAGTTCTTTCAGCTTGAAAAATGATAAGCAAGTTCCTGCCCTCCCTCAATTCCAGCCCTTTGCACATTTCAGCATAAAACTTTGCTTTAAAGCCATGGAAAGACTTTTCACAGAGGAAGATATTCAGATGGTCAACAGATACATGAAGAAATGAGAGATGCAAATCAAAACCACAATGAGAGGCCATCTCACTCCAGTAGCAGTGGCAAAGTTTAACAGGACAGCAAATAATAAGTGATGGAGAGGATGTGGAGAGATAGGAATTCTTATACACTGTTGGTGGGATTGTAAAGTGGTACAACCCCTCTGGAAAGCAGTTTGGCATTTCCTTATAAAGCTGAATATGGAAACTCCATATGACCCAGTTATTCTACTGCTTGGATAATACCTTGAGAAAATGAGAACTGAGGCACAAATCGAGATTTGTACACCAGTGTTCATATCAGTGTTATTTACCATCACAAGAACATGGAAACAGCCGAAATGTCCAACCACAATTGAATGGATTGAGAAATTATGGTACATTCATATGATGGAATACCACACAACATACAGGAGCAATGATTTTGGAAATCACTACCTAACTTGGGAGGGACTGAAGAACATTTTGCTGAGTGAACTAAATCAGTCCCATAAGGACAAATCCTGTATACTACTACTATAGTAGAGTGAGTATGAGGATCCAAGGAGGGGAGGGTGGAGGTAATCCTAGTGTCACACAGTTTGATGGAGGGAGGGAGGGGGCGTAAAGAAATGGGAAGGATCTGATGTGAAAAACAATGTATACGAACTTTGTAATAAACTAGTATAAAATAAAAAATTTATTTAAAATAGGAAAAATCCCAACCCATACCAAAAAAGTTTGCTTTGTCAAGCTTCCTCTTATGGACTGGAAAATTAAATAATTTTGCCCACTGATTTTTATTTTTATATACATTCTTTTTTTTAATTTATTATTAATTTCAATGAAAATTTACAGAGAATTTGGCTTTCCATTGATTCATTGTTGCACATTTCTCCCCTCCCAGCCTTCTTCCCTAGTACATTCCCCTCTTGGAAAAGTAAAAGAAAAATTCTTTCATTGTTTTACAAACCCTCCCCCAGGTCTGCTCCACTATGTAGGATTAGCTCTGGACTCCTGTCTTGACAAAAATAACCAATCACATATCCCTTTTTAACCATTTTCTCCCTCATCAGTTTCAATGCAGTATACATTATTGAAACCATCTTTCTCAGTCTCCCCCTAACCCCAGTGTCAGTCCTGTTTTACAACAGTGTGGCACCATGCAGTATTTGTCCTTTTGTAACTGAGATATTTCACTCAGCATAATGTCCTCCAGGGCCACCCATTTTGAATAATATTGCATGAGTTCCTTGTTTTTCAATGCAGCGTAGTATTCCATTGTGTGAATATATTACAGCTTCTCTATTCATTCGTTTGTTGATGGGCACTTAGGATGTTTCCAACTCCTTGCTATTGTGAACAAAGCCACGATAAATATGGGTGTGCATATATCTGCTTGGGTGGCAGTTATGTTTTCTTTGGGGTATATTAGAATTGCTGGGTCAAATGGTATCTCTATTTGCAACTATTTGAGAAAGTGCCATACCGCCTTCCACAGTGGTTGCACCATTTTACACTCCCACCAACAGTGAAAAAGGATTTCAGTTTCTCCACACCTTGCCAGCATTTTGCTGTTCTGTTAAATTTTGCTATTCTAACTGGGGTGAGATGATGCCTCATAGTTGTATTGATTTGCATCTCTCTTAGAGCTAGGGATTTTGAACATTTCTTTATGTGCTTGTTAGCCATCTGAAAGTCTTCTTTGGTGAAGGATTTTTATTGTTTTTTTAAAAAACTATTATGGTAGAAATGTCCTATTTAATTAAATTGGAAAAAGAAACATTGAAGTAGGGAGCTCTGGTGGCCTAGTGGCAAGAAGCACTGCAATCCCAGAGGTACATGGTTCGAATCCACCAGATTCTTTGCTGGAGAAGGAGGGGCTATCTCCTCCAGTACCAGTCAGATCTGATTTGACAGTACACCTACACACACACACACATAAATAAAATTTTTTAAAAAACCAAGAAAAACATTGTATGGTCATGCTATATTTGATGAGCAGTTTTGATGTACCATTTATGCTGACTGTTTAATTACTATGCCCTTCTTTTGCATGTTACCTATAGACAGTCTTTAGATCATTGAAGTGTTTTTCATCAGCATCACATTTAAGTAGAAACATAGATTTTATCCTTATCCTTTCATGGATATACAAATATTACCATATGTGATAAGAAACTTGAGAATTAATATGAAACATTTGCCTGTAATACTTCATTCTGCTAATTGTTTTCTTGGGAATTCTTTGATTCTAAAATTATTCAGTTCTAGCTGTTAGGGACCTCTCCAAAGTACTGAAGAGCAGTGGTGTCTCTCTGGAGACTAAGGTGCGTCTGATACAGGCCATGTTCTTCGCAATCACTTGTTATGCATCAGAGAGTTGGACAATGACCAAGGAGGATAGAAGGAGAATTGATGCCTTTGAGCTGTGGTGCTGGAGAAGAGTATTGAGAATACCATGGACTCCTAGGAAAACAAACAGATTCATCCTGGAAAGGGTTAAGCCGGGTGGCTCCTCGGAGGCAAGGATTCTGAGGCTCCGTCTAACATACTTTGGACATGTTGTGAGGAGAGACCGGTCCTTGGAGAAGGACATCATGCTTGGGAGGGTGGAGGGACAGCGCAGGAGGGGAAGGCCCTTTATGAGGTGGATTGATTCAGTGACTGGGATAATCTGGAGGGGAGCGTCAGAGACTGTGCGATAGGCACAGGACAGAGCAGAGTTTAGGGCTGTTGTACATAGGGTCGCTATGAGTCGCAAGCTATTTGACGGCACAGAACAACAACAACAACAAGGATCAAGAGAGAGAGAGACAAGTCAAAGTTCAAATTATGTTTTACTTTTTTTGCCTTCTCATGATTTTATTGTATGTTAATAAGATGTACTGATACAGTGACTTCTCAAGTGTGTGTAGGAATGATAAGGGATAGCACATGATAGGACAGGTTTCAGATCTCATGTTCACAGGATCACTATGAATTCTACTTGACTGAACAACACCTAACAACAACAAGATAAATTCTGTAAGTTTAATTTATATAATTCTGTAATTTAAATTATAATTCCTATAATTTAAAAATTAATTTGTAATTCCTTAGTATGAAGTTAGTTCAACTTTGAAGGTAGACAAAGAATTTTTGAATTGATCATTAAAGGAAGTTAGTATAATAGATGCTTACTAGGGACAGTAAATAACAATGTTCTTCCTGGCCAGTAAAATTTCATTACCGTAAAATATATTTGGTATTTATCTCTTTAATGCATGTCCTGGGCTGATGGTCTGTTTCAAAAGCCATTATTGAGTAGATGTTTCAAAAAACATACCTCCTGGCCTTAAATGACAAAATTAGCATTTTGTTCTATTTGTCTTAATACTTTTAAGACTTTTAAATACTTTCTTTAAGAAAGAAAATATTTTCGATATGATTTGACGTCCCTTCTGTATCTCTTCCATATCTTATTTTCCACTCTTATACTCCAGATATAACCTGTATAGTGTAAATGTTGGTGTGTACTTTTTATGTAATTTATGTGTCCACATGCATTATAGAATGGATTTTAATGGGGTGTTGTCTTTTAACATTTCCCAGTAAATTCTATAGATAAGTCCCCAGTTTTAGTATATTTGAGTTAACAGCTAACGCAGGACTTTAAATCTATTTGAAATAGTTCAGTTGTGGCCGGTGAAAATAAGGGCAGTGTACACATTTCACAGTGAGCACATCTCTTTGTATATCAGATTTTAATACAAATCGGAAGTAGGTAGCAATGGCTACCCACAGGTGCCTGCACCTCTGAAGGTATGCCGTGGCAATGGCTGGTCACAATCTTTAGGCAGGACATCACTGCTTGTTTCCTACTCTTGTTAAAATCCAGAACACAGGAGACTGGGTTGCTGTGCACTGTTCAAGTTACCCTTGTTTCATTGACTATGACTAAGTTGTTTCAGACTGTTTCAAATCCTGGTGAAACCACACTTAGGACCTTCTTGGTTTCTTTTTTGGTGTGGTGATGTAATGGGGTGTGGTGGGTCTTATTATTAATGATATATAAAGATAAAGACATACATATGTATGAGTCATCTACGACTCGACGGCATTAAACAACAACAAACAACATATATATATATATAGAGAGAGAGAGAGACAGAGAGAGAGAGAGAGAGAGAGACAGAGAGACAGAGAGACAGAGACAAGACAGACATAGAGATAGAGATAGGTATTTGGAAGCAGGAGTGACATCCACTTTCTAAACAACATGCCCCTGGAAATTCTATCAACTTTGATAAATGTCAATAGTTGGAGAGGGGCTTCAGGCCTTTGGTTCATAGGGTCTCTATAAGTCGTGTTCAACTCTAAGGCAATCAACAA